GGAAAGAGACATGCCTGGGGCTCTAAGAAAGTCCCTGACCCTATGGACTTAGCATATGGTAGCAGGCAAAGAAAAGATTTGTGTATCAGTCTCTTGACTTTGACCTACATGTGATCTAGCTCACTAGTAAAATAGGACACAATGATTAGCCTTGCCACTCACCAATCATATCAGTAATAATGATTCCTCCCTTGAAAACAAACAGTTGGTAAGGACTGTGGTAGGCTGGGGGAAAAGTGAGTCACGGGGTTTCTCTTCCCAATATTCTCCCTCATAGAGAGGACAGATAAGTTCCTGGCTTTCTTCTTCTATGAGTCAAGGCTCAAGCATGAAGGAAAAGGAAGAACAATTCTCTCTCCTCAACATTCCCAAAATTGTGTTTAACTGCCTGTTTTCTGGTTTATCTCCTCACAAGACTGGAAGCTCTTCTTGGGCAAGTGCCTGGTTTGTATAGAAGGTGCTCAACAAATGTATGTTTTCTCAATTAGTGTTCACTAAATGCTTCTTTCTTTTTTTTTTTTCTTTTAACACATCCATCACCTGACATTGCTACCGTATGTGTGTTGGTGAGAACATTTAAGATTTACTCTCTTGGCAAATTTTAAGTATACAATTTATTATTATAAACTATAATCATCATCTTATATACTAGCTCCCCAGAACTAATTCATCTTATAAGTGAAAGTTTGTATTCTTTGACCAACATTTTCCCATCTCCCCCCCATCACCCCCTCCCCCAAGCCCTTGGCAACCACCATTCAACTACCTACCTGGTTCTTTAAGCTTGACTTTTTTAGGTTCCACATATAAGTGACACCATAAACAGTCTGCCTTTCTGTGTCTTTCTATGCCTATTTCACTTAGCATAACATCCTCCAGGTTCACCCATGTTGCCACAAATGGCAGGATTAAATGCTTATTTCTTATAGATAACTCATTATATTATTTAAGTGCAAACTACTGCTAAAAATGGTTCACAAAATTTTACCTGACTATATATTCCCTTGAAATATTCTTTCCACTGTAATATATTACACATACACTCACATACATATATAAGCTTAATATATTTGCTTAACAAATTCATATTCTAGCATTAGAAAGTTTGTCTTGAAAAGTTGGCATCATTACAAATTTTGAAGTAATGGAATCTTAGTTTCAAAGACTTTAGTATAATGTCATTCTTTTCCAGCCCCACTACAAGTAAACCAATCTGCATAGTTTCAGTAACATCTCTATCTCAGATCCAATGTTACGAGAGATTAATGTTTGTTTAATGAATGTGTTTTGTTTCAACATATAATCCCAATACAACAGGACCATATGATCTATAAATTAAACCAAGTTTGGAAATGCTATTTCTAAAAATAAATGATGCTTTTCAAGAGTTTAATAAACATACAAAACATTTATCCCTAGTTATGAAACAATTTACACAAATCTTAATTTTCTTTCTCTAAGCAGAGGTACACACCCTTATAAAATAGCAAGCACCACTGACATACATACCAGTGACTACAGCATTACTCTCATCTCTATTGTCAGTCTCAATAGCACCATAAGATTTTAGCAGCTCTTTCATGTTTTTATCATCTGCTTCATCCAAAGCAGTCTTCTGCTTTTGATCCTTTTGATTAGGGTTTGCTCCATGTTGTAGTAGAATCTCAGCTGCCTAAAAGGTATTTTTCCAAAGTTATCTCTACAGACCCCTAAGATCAATAATTCCTGCTTTCATTACAAGACACCACTATCAAGTATTAAAAGTTATCAAAAAAAGTTTTCAAACTCTGACCAAGAAAATCTTGATTAAATTTGATATGACAACTGTAAACTGCTCCACTGATTTGGCCTGATCTGTCCTCACAGAAGAACCAAACACCATGACGTGAAAATACGAGACGTGCTGCCTTCATGGCTGAAGAGGCAGACTTTGGGAGACTGATGTGCAAAAGGATTTACTCTATCTCTTTAACAAAGCCCTTTGTCCTCCCCTAAGCTGCTGGAAGATAGGGTGGAGAAGGGAGCAGGGATCATTTCAGGATTATATTAAATTATACACTGTATTATAAATTGCCATCAGACATAGTTGAATAAAGTTTCATTTGAACTATATTTCAGGTATATTACTTGTTTAGGAGGTTTTATAAGCTAGCCTGGGAACCTAATGTCCATTCTAATATTTTCTATGCAAATATGTTTCCTAAATAGATGACATATTCACAGAATGTTAATAAGATTAAAAAGAAACAGAAATAATCTACTCCAACCCCACCTTTTAAAGAAGAGAAAACTGAGGTCAAAGATAAATGTTGTGACATTTTGGGGGCAAAAGTTTCTAATATAAATAATGCTTCCCTGAATAACTCAAATTTGTGTTTAAAAAATTTGAATAACTCAAAGTTGTATATTAGAAGTAAGTTTATGATTCATCTAAGTTAAAGATTGTCACTAATTAGTTGACAGTATAAGTCAACTAGTAAAAATCAATCAGTGATTCCATCTGCGCAAGGCAAATGACTCAAGCCACTGAAAAACCTTTTGTTTAGGAAAAATGGTCAGTATTTTGTTAAAGTAAAGATATGCATATGTGCTAGTAGCTTTTCTCTTTCAACTTGTGTCCAGGTATGGAAAAGCAGAAAAACTTAGGAGCAAATGGGCCAGTAGAAGTAATAAGGATAGCTCCTTATTTGTTCTATCAGCCTTTTTGTTTTAAAGTCAAGCATACAAAACTCACTCCTGCTACTAACTAGCTATGTCCTTGGGCAAGTTATTTACCATCAGAACCTCATTTCTCTCACCTATGAGGCTTAAATGTGAACCCGTGTACAGTATTTGGCACATGGTGGGGCTTAAGGAAAACACTCCCCTATTTAGCCCTGTGTAATCTCCAGCCTGCTGGCTCTGCCTAATCTCATGTTGTTTCCTTACCCACACCTGTAGATCAGCCAAGGAATTGAGGGGACTCCCCTTTAAATCTCTGGAGAATTCTCTCTGTGCAGATATATTCTGTCTGGTATTTTGCCCCATAAATTTTAGCTGTTGGAGTTTTAAACTCCAAACAACCTTCTCAACTCATTGAGATCATAAGGCTATTTGCTTTCTTCCTCCCTAGGCTTCTGCCTGAAAACTCCTCCTAGTCCATGAGGTGGGGCAATCATACGGTTCGTCTCATGTTTCCATCCTTTCAGGGATCACTGCCCTCTGCTGCATGTTGTCTAATGTCTCAAAACTGTTATTTCATATATTTTGCTCACTTTTCTAGTTTTTAAGGTGGGAGGAAATATCTTATCCCTGCTATCCCATCTTGTACAAAAGTGGGTACCCATTCCCACCCACATTTTATCTTTAAAAAAAATCTTTTCCTTATCTTTTTATTCTCCACATTTTATAATGTAGAATACATGACCATCTTGGAAGATAACTTAAAAAAGAAATTAAGATTTTTTTAAATTGAAAGTTGAAAAAGAAAATAAGATGTTGAATAACTTTGCATGCAGTCATGCCAGATAGAAAATTAGGAATTAAATATACAGGGTGTTATAGAATTGATACTTAGTAGGTCTACAGTACCATACATTTACCTTTCTTGCTCCCCCTTATTAATCTTTCTAGATCATCTATCAATATCCTACCTCAAAATAAAGAAATAGGGACAAAAGGGAAGAAAGTGAGTCTGAAATAAAATGAGTCAATGATAGAAGAACTGTCACATGGAGGGAAAGTTAATGAAGATATGAAGAAAGATGATGGCAATATATCAGTATCAAAGGAATTAAAATATCATTAAAAATACTACCTCCTTCTTTTTAAATAGAATATTTCTCCTTAAAGTAAAGGCAACAGAGATGTGGAAGGTTATTCCAAAAGCAAACTTTGTCTTTATCACCACTTAGGTAAAAGAACGTCAGTAATTCTCTAGATCAAGCAATAGCAAACTATAGCCCGGGGGCCAAATCCAGTCTGCTGCCTGACTTTGTAAATTAAGTTGTATTGGCACACAGTCAAACCCACTCATTTACATGTTGTCTAGGGTTGCTATTGCACTAGAACAGCAGTTGAGTAGTTGCAATAGAGACTGTGTGGCCCGGAAAACCTAAACTGTTGATTAGCCCTCTGTAGGAAATATTTACCAATCCTTGCTCTAGACCAGAGCTTTCAACAGTTTTCTGTTATGATGGCAATGTTCTAATCTATACTGTCTAATATGGGAGCCACTGCCACATGTAGCTATTGAGTACTTCAAATGTGGCTAATGCAACTGAAGAACTAAAACTTTCAAAAAATATATTTATTTATTTATTTATTTATTTTGGCTGCTCCGGGTCTTAGTTGCGGCACTAGGGTTCTTTGTTGCTGCGGGCTGGACCTTCATTGCAGCGTGCGTTATCTTTTAGTTGTGGCATGAGGACTCGTAGTCGCGGCATGCAAACTCTTAGTTGTGGCATGCATGCGGGATCTAGTTCCCTGACAAGGGATCAAACCCAGGCCCCCTGCATTGGGAGGGCAGAATCTTAACCCACTGGACCACCAGAGAAGTCTCTGAATTTTTTTTTTTAAGATTTTTTTTTTGATGCAGACCATTTTAAAAGTCTTTATTGAATTTGTTACAATATTGCTTCTGTTTTATATTTTGGTTTTTTGGCCACAAGGCATGTGGGATATTAGCTCCCCAACCAGGGATCAAACCCTGCAACCCCTACATTGGAAGGTGAAGTCTTAACCACTGGACCACCAGGGAAGTCCAAGAATTGAATTTTTAAATTTAATTAATTTTAAGTAATTTAAATTTAAATAGCCACATGTGGTTAGTGGCTACAGTATAGGACAGTACAGCTCTAGATCAAATTCCTTATTTCAGATATCTTTATCTTTTTCAAGCAGCAGAACTAGGCCTAGAACTCAAGTTCTCTAAAATCCAGTTCGGTGTTTTGTCAAGCTCCCTTTCTGCTATTTCCGGTGATGAATTTTCAGTTCTTGGCATTTATCTTTACAGAAGACCTTCTACATCTGAGTTATCATTTCCTCTAACCCTTGAAGTTACAAAATTTCTACGAGGGAAGCTACCGTCTTCAAAATAGGAAAATTCTCACTTATGAAGGCTACTTACAAAATTTGATCTAATCAAATATCCCTCCCTGCTCAATAACATGGCATTTTTTCCCATCCATCAAGTCAACATATTTCTCTTGAGTTTTGGTCAATTTACCACTGGTCCCTGATATTGTAAATAGCCAACAATAAAATGGAAATACACTACAAATTGATTACAAAGCCAAAATGTAAAGATGTAGGATTTCCTGAAGTCATATATTAAAATAATATTGTAGGGCTTCCCTGGTGGCTCAGTGGTTGAGAGTCCACCTGCTGATGCAGGGGACGTGGGTTTGTGCCCCGGTCCGGGAAGATCCCACGTGCCGCAGAGCAGCTAGGCCCGTGAGCCATGGCCGCTGAGCCTGCGCGTCCGGAGCCTGTGTTCCACAACAGGAGAGGCCCGCACACAACAACAACAACAACAACATAATAATAATAATAATAATATTGTAGAAATGCTTGAAGCACCTGTGAAGCAACTGATAAATGAGAAACTTAGAGGTAAAACTGTTAACCTAAAAAAAAGAAAAATTTTGAATATGAATGGATTAATACAGGACCTGGGGAAAACTTGTGGTACCTCTCAAAATTTTTGAAAAAGAGACCTTCCCTGAGGTCATGATGCAAAAAACCAACTGTGAGGTAAAGGATGTCCTATATGCTGTCATACCATTTTGCCAGAAAAGCTAGGCCAAGAAAACATACATTATTCTGTTTTTGCTGTTCCAGAAATCAGTATGTATTTCAATTAGAAACTAAATATAATACTATTTAGAAAGGAGTTAACATAGCAGGCCTAAAACTGCTATCTAGAAAGGCTGCTTGCTAGGTTGGTCTATAGCTGGCATCTGTGAACTTGGCTGGTAAACACTGCACTACACTGATACAAAACTTTCCCTAATTGATAAGAGTGGCTCTCTGTGCTTCAACTGTCTACACAAGCAATGTGGTTTATTCATGCTTCTAGGAGTCTGAAATCTTGCTATGTGCTAGGCAGAGGGTGCCTACATGACTAGCCCTCAATATAAATCTTGAGCACTGAGTTTCTAATGAGCTTCCCTGGACAGAAACATTGCACTTACGTTGCTACATTTTCACTGCTGAGGGAAAAGCAAACTGTATGTGACCTCTCATAAGGAAGAGTGCATAGTACAGCCTGCACATGGATACCTCCAGACTCCACCTTTTTCTCTGATGATCCCCCTGTGTACCCTTACTATACTGCTCTAATAAATCTTAGCTATGAATACAATCATATGCTGAGCTCTGTAACACCTTCTAACAAATTTCCAAGTATAGGGGTGGTATTGGGAAACCCCTTATTTTGTTTATATTGCATTTTTCAGGATAATGTCTAAAATCCTGATTTTCCTACTATGAAATTTTGGCCCTTATTTAAGTGGTTTCACTTTAAGTAACCTTTTCCCTGTACATATAACCAGTTAAGTTCATCACTTCAATGACTCTTCCTGTTTGCTTTCTTCCATTGCATGACCACATAACTTTGAGACTTTGTCAATTCTTTTTTAATTTAAATATCTTAAAGGTCAAAGAGCTTCTTTGATCAAAAGAAGCCTCCCTGGACATTAGCCCACCCATTTGGTATTATTCTTAATCATTAGTTTATCTCTCTTATCTCTGCAAATCATAAATTCAATACTATTCTTTCACATGACTATATTTAGACTGAAAACAGTGGGGATATATTTTCATAAAATTAAATAAAATTACCAGGCTATTAAAAATACCTAGAGACAGATAAAGTAGTTTTAGTGAGAGATCCAAGGAATTTTTTATATGAACCTTGGTTTTATATTGTTGTTGTTGCTGGTAGTTTCCTTAACTATTTTTCAAAACCAATAATTATTCCTGAAGTCTATATTGCCAACTGACAAATCTTCTCCTAAGGTTTGTCAAACAAAAAAGATGAGTTTAAAAATCTGGAGAATTTTAAAGTCTAGATTTGAAATTGAGTGTTACTGAAATAATTACCCTGGTGATTTTCTCTTGTGATATTTTTACCATGGCTATCTGATTTAAAAAAAAAAAAAAGGAGAAAAAAATACAAGAACCCCCAAGGAAACAAGCAACTTGAGCTTTTACCCATTTCTCTGAAACTTCAAACCCACTGAGAAATTTCGAGTTTAAAAAACATCTGGCTGTCACATATATCATCACTATATAGACTCTTTTATACACAACAGCAAAGCATTTAATGCAATTAATACTGGAATGTATTATATTAATAGGCTGTGTTTACTTCTAGCCCTTTCATTTTATTCTCACTTACATGAATTACATGATGAAGAGACAATGGAAAAATGATTCATTAGGAAATACACTGGTTTTCTAATCTATATGTAATATCATATTCATTTGTACTTTTAAGCAGTTTTTAAAAATCATTTGTTTTAAGGAATCACTTTAGTTCGCAATTTAAAATATCTTCACTGTCTTCACTCACTTTTTAAAGAAAAAGAAATAGGAACCTAATCTGATGTGCACTATACCTTTAAATGGTTGTTTGCAACAGCACCATGTAAGGGCAGAATTCCATCTACATTTTCACAATTAACATTAGCACTAGCTTTTAACAACTCTACAATTATATCATTGCATCCCGTACTAGCTGCCTCATGAAGTGGTGTCCAACCTAAAAAGGGAAAAAAGAAAAAACAAAACAAGCTGCTTACAAATCAGTATTCAAGTAGTATTATAAGTTTATTTGCACTAATGGAATTATTAACTTTATTGATTCAAATGTATGTACTAAGTACTGGACAAGAAATAATACTGAAAACAGGCTACCTAAAGATCCCTGAGCCCAGAGCTGCCCCTGGACATGGCCCTGTCCACCAGAGGGCCCAGGATCCAGACCTGCCCACCAGTGCACAAACACTAGACCCAGGATGCACGGGGCCCTGTAGCCAGAGACCCTGGCACCCAGTTCCACCCACCAGTGGGCAGGCACCAGCCGAGAAATCCTTAGGCCCCAGGTCTGTGCACCAGCAAGGCTGCTTTAGCCTTGGGAACAGCCTCACTCACAGTGGGTGGACACCAGCCCCAGGACAACTACAGCCCCATAGTCTGCTGTGGCAGGAGTCAGCCTACCCACGGGCAGGCCAGCACCAACCCTAGGACCAGCTGGGTCCAAGCTCTGCCTAGCAGTAGGCCAACACAAACTTTAGGACACACTGAACCCCACAGCCACCTGTATCAGGAACTGGCCCCACTCACCAGCAGTCCAACATGAGCTCTGGGACCCCTGGGTCTTAAAGCCAGACTCCAGGACCTGGCTCTGCTCACCAGTGGGCTGGCACTGGTCCCAAGAACTAGCTTCACCCACTGGCAAATGGGCACCAGCCCTGGGATCTCCTATACCCAGACTCTGCCCATCAGTGAGCCAGCACTAGCCCTGGGACCCCCTGGGGTTTAGCAGCCAGCCACCTTGTGACCTAGCCCCACCAACCAGGGGCCAGCAGCCTCCACACAAAGCAGGGCCTGGCAACCAACTGTACTGGGGGCCAGCCAAGCCTACAAGACCACACACAGTAGTCAGCCTGCCACAACAGAAGGACCCATGCAGCCCACCTATGGGGCACCCCTAGAACATACAGCTCTAGTGATCAGAGGGGAGTGAACTCTTGGAAGCTTAAGACATTTCCTATAAAAGGCTACTTCTCCAAGGTTGGGATATGTAACAAGCCTACCAGATACATAGAAATAACTAGTTAAGCAAAATGAGGCAACAGAGGAACATGTTCAAAACAAAGGAACAAGATAAAACCTCAGAAGAAGAACTAAGTGGAGACAGGAAATCTACCTGAGCAAGAGTTCAAGGTAATGACTGTAAGAATAACAAAAGAACTTTGGAGAAGACTGGATGAACAGAGAAGTTAGAAGTTTTTAACAAAGAGTTAGAAAACATAAAGAACAACCAAACAGATGAAGAATACAATAACTGAAATGAAAAATACACTAAAAGGAATTAACAGTACACTAAATGATATATATAGGAACGAATCAGCAAGCTGCAAGACAGAGTAGTGGAAATCAAGAAGTGAGGACAGTTTAAGAGCTCTCTGGGACAATATCAAGTGTACCAACATTTTCATTATAGGAGTCCCAGAAGACGAAGAGAGAGAAAGGGATGGAAAGCATATTTTAAAACATAATAATCTGAAAACTCCCCTAATCTGGGAAAGGAAAGAGACATTCAGGTCCAGGAAGCATGGACAGTCCCAAACAGGATCAACATAAAGAGGACCACATTAAGATACACTGTGATTTAAATGGAAAAATTAAAAGATAAAGAGAGAATATTAAGAGCAGGAAGGGAAAAGCAACAAATAACATACAAGGGAACTCCTATAAGGCTTTCAGCTGACTTTGCAACAGAACTATGCAGGTCAGAAGGTACTGGCAGCATATATTTAAAGTGATGAAAGGGAAAAATGTACAACAAAAAATACTCTACCCAGCCAGGCTCTTATTCAAATTTGATGATGATATCAAAAGTTGTACAGACAAGCAAGAGTTAGGAGTTCAGCACCAGCAAACCAGCTTTATGTGAAATGTTAAAGGGACTCCTCTAAGCAAAAAGGAAAAGGCCATAACTGGAAACATGAATATCACAAAAGAAAAAGTTCATCAGTAAAGGCAAATATACAGTAAAGGTAGTAAGTCAACTGGGTACAAAACTATTAGGAAGGTTAAAAGACAAAAGTAGTAAAATCATCTATATCCACAATAAGCAGTTAAGGAATACACAAAACAAATACATGAAAAATACGATGTTGAAAACAGTAATTGTGAGGTGAGGAGAGTAAAAATGCAGGGTTGTTAAAATGCATCTGAAATTAAGAGATCAGCAAGTTAAAATAATCATATATACATACACACACATATATAAATAAAACTCATGGTAACCACAAATCAAAAATCTATAATAGAGCCACATGCAAAAAAGAGAATGGAAACCAAACATAACATTAAAGATAATCATAAAATCACAAGAGAAGAGAACAAAAGAAGAAAGGAATAAAAAAGAATTACAAAAACAACTCCCAAACCATGAATACAATGGCAATAAGTACATACATATCAACAATTACTTTCAATGTAAATGGACTAAATGCTCCAATCAAAAGACACAGAGTGGCTGAATGGATACAAGAACAAGACCCATATATATGCTACCTACAAGAGACTCACTTGAGATCTAAAGACACACACAGACTGAAAGTGAGGGGATGGAAAAAGGTATTCCATGAAAATGGAAACAAAAAGCAAACTGGGGTAACAATATCTGTATCAGACAAAATAGACTTTAAAACAAAAACTGTTACTAGAGACAAAGAAGGACATTACATAATGATCAAGGAATCAATCCAAGAAGAAGGTATAACGATTTTAAATATATTTGCACCCAATATAGGGCCACCTAAATATATAAAGCAAATATTAACAGACATAAAGGGAGAAATTGACAGTAACACAGTAGGGGACTTTAACACCCCACTTTCATCAATGGACAGATCATCCAGACAGAAAATCAATACAGAAAAACTGGCCTTAAATGACACATTATACCAGATGAACTTAATTGATATATATAAAACATTCCATCCCAAAGCATCAGAATACACATTCTTTTCAAGTGCATAAGGAACAGTCTCCAGGATAGGTCACATGCTAGGCCACAAAACAAGAACTGGTAAATATAAGAAAACTGAAATCATGTTGAGCATCTTTTCTGACCACAACACTATGAGACTAGAAATCAACTACAAGAACAGAACTGCAAAAAACACAAACACATGGAAGCTAAACAACATACTACTAAACAACCAACAGATCACTGAAGAAATCAAAGGACAAAACAACAAATACCTAGAGACAAATGAAAATGAGAACACAATGATCCAAAATCTATGGGATGTAGGAACAGCAGTTCTAAGAGAGAAGTTTATAGTGATACAAGATTTCCTTAGGAGTGAAGTAAGTCAGAAACAGGAAAACAAATACCATATGCTAACACATATATATGGAATCTAAAAAAAAAAAGGGTTCTGAAGAACCTAGGGGCAGGACAGGAATAAAGATGCAGATGTAGAGAATGGACTTGAGGACATGGGGAGGGGGAAGGGTAAGCTGGAACGAAGTGAGAGAGTGGCATGGACATATATACACTACCAAATGTAAAATAGATAGCTAATGGGAAGCAGTTGCATAGCACAGGGAGATCAGCTCGGTGCTTTGTGTCCACCTAGAGGGGTGAGATAGGGAGGGTGGGAGGGAGATGCAAGAGGGAGGAGATATGGGGATATATGTTTATGTATAGCTGATGCACTTTGTTATACAGCAGAAACTAACACATCATTGCAAAGCAATTAAACTCCAATAAAGATGTTTAAAAAAAAAAGATTACCTCAGGAAACAAGAAAAATCTCAAATAAACAATCTAAACTTACACCCAAAGGAACTAGAGAAAAAGAACAAAAAACCTGAAAGTTAGTAGAAGGAAAGAAATCATAAAGATCCAGCAGAAATAAATTAAATAAAGACTAAAAAAAATAGAAAAGATCAATGAAACTAAGAGCTGGTTCTTTGAAAAGATAAACAAAATTGACAACACTTTGGCCAGACTCACCAACAAAAAAAGAGAGAGGGCCCAAATCAATAAAGTCAGAAATGAAAAAGAAGTTATAATGGACACCACAGAAATACAAAGGATCGTAAAAGATTACTACAAACAACTACATGCCAATAAAAAGGACAACCTACAAGAAATGGACAAATTTCTAGAAATGTACAGTCTCCTAAGACTGAATCAGGAAGAAATAGAAAATAGGAACAGATAAATTACCAGTAATGAAATTGAATCAGTAATGAAAAACCCCCAAACGAACCAAAGTCCAGATGGCTTCACAGGTGAATTCTACCAAATATTTAGGGAAGAATTAACACCTATCCTGCTCAAACTATTCCAAAAGTTGCAGAGGAAGAAACACTTCCAAACTCATTCTACAAGACCAGCATCTCCTTGACACCAGAGAAAGATATCACACAAAAGAAGAAAATTACAGGCCATTATCACTGATGAACATAGATGCAAAAATCAACAAAATATTGGCAAACAGAATCCAAAAATACATTAAAAACATCATACACCATGATTAAGTGGGATTTATCCCAGGGATGCAAGGATGACTCAATATCCACAAATCATTCAATGTGATACATCACATTAACAAACTGAAGAATAAAAATCATATGATCATCTCCACAGATGCAGAAAAAGCTTTGGATAAAATTCAACATCCATTTTGAAAAAAACTCTCCACAAAGCAGGTATAGAGGGAACATACTTCCACGTTATAAAGACCATATATGATAAGCCCACAGCTAAAATCATGTTCAATGTGAAGAGCTGGAAGCATTTCCTCTAATATCAGGAACAAGACAAGGATGCCCACTCTTGCCACTTTTATTCAACACATTATTAGAAGGCCTAGCCACACCAATGAGACAAGAAAAAGAAAGAAAAGGAATCCAAATTGGAAAGGAAGAAGTAAAACTGTCACTCTTTGCAGATGACATGGTACTATACATAGAAAAATCCTAAAGACACCACCAAAAAACTACTAGAGAACATCAATAAATTCAGTTAAGCTGCAGGATATAAGATTAACATACAGAAATCTCTTGTATTTCTGTACACTAACAACAAATTATCAGAAAGTGAAATTAAGGAAGCTTCTCATTTTCAACTGCATCAAAAAGACTAAAATACCTGGGGATAAACCTGCCTAAGGAGGTAAAAGAGCTGTACTCAGAAAATCATAAGACAGTGATGAAAAAAAAAAACAAACTGAAGATGACACACACAGATGGAGAGACAAGATATACCGTGTTCATGGATTAGAAGAATTAATATTGTTAAAATGACCGTACTACCCAAGGCAATCTACAGATTCAATGCAGTTCCTATCATAATACCAATGGCATTTTTCACAGAACTAGAACAAATAATTTTAAAACTTGTACTGTAGCACAAAAGACCTCAAATAGCCAAAACAATCTCAAGAAAGAAGACCAGAGCTGGAGGAATCACACTCCCTGACTTCAGACTATACTACAAAGCTACAGTAATCAAGAGTCTCATACTGGCACAAACACAAACACACAGATCAATGGAACAGGACAGAGAGTCCAGAAATAAATCCACACATTTATGTCAATTAATCTATGACAAAGGAGGCAAGAATAAACAATGGAGAAAAGACAGTTTCTTCAATAAGTGGTGCTGGGAAAACTGAAGAGCTACATGTAAAAGAATGAAATTAGAACATTTCTCACATCTATACAAACATAAACTCAAAATGGACTAAAGAACTAAATGTAAGACTGGAAACCATAAAACTCCTAGAAGAAAACATAGACAGCATACTCTGACATAAATCATAGCAACATTGTTTTGGATCTGTCTCCTATGGCAAAGGAAACAAAATAAAAAATAAACAAATGGGACCCAGTTAAACTTAAACGCTTTTGCACAGCAAAGGAAACCACTGACAAAATGAAAAGAAAATCTACTGAATGGGAGGAAATATTTGCAAATGACATGACCAATAAGGGGTTAATATCCAAAATATATAAACAGCTCATAGAATTCAAAACCAATAAAAGAAACATGCCAGTCAAAAAATGGGCAGAAGACCTGAATAGACATTTTCCCAAAGACATACAGATGGCCAACAGGCACATGAAAAGATGCTCAACATTGCTAATTATCAAAAAAATGTAAATCAAAGCCACAATGAGATATTACCCTACTCCTGTCAGAATGATTATCATAAAAAAACACCAATAACAAATATTGGTGAGGATATGTAAAAAAGGGAGCCCTTGTACACTGTTGGGCATGTAAATTGGTGCAGCAACTGTAGAAAACAGTATGGAGGTTTTTCAAAAAACTAAAAACAGAACTATCATATGATCCAGCAATTCCACTGCTGGGTATATATCTGAAGAAAACAAAGACACTAATTCAAAAAGATACATGCACCCCAGTGTTCACAGCAACATTATTTACAATAGCCAAGACATATAAGCAACCTAAGTGTCCATCAACAGATGAAAGGATAAAGATGTGGGGTGTGTGTGTGTGTGTGTGTGTGTGTGTGTGTGTGTGCAATGAATACCACTTGGGCATAAAAAGAATGAAATTTTGCCTTGTGCAAAAACATGGATGGACCTGAAGGGTATTACGCTTAGTGAAATAAGTCAGACAGAGAAAGATACTCTATGTTATCACTTACCTGTGGAATCTAAAAAAAAAAAAAAAAAAAGCAAATTTAGCAAAACAGAAACAGATTCATGGATATAAACAATAAACTAGTGGTTACCAGTAGGGAGAGGGAAGTGGGGAGGGGCAAGATAGGCATAGGGGATTAAAAGGTACAAACTACTATGTATAAAATAAATAAGCTACAAGGATATATTGTACAGCACAGGGAATATAGCCAATATTTTACAGTAACTAAGTGGAATATAATCTATCAACTTTGGGTTTTTTGTTTGTTTGTTTTTTAGTTTTATTTGTAATTAAAATTTTTTTTGAGGTACAGTTGTACAATATTACAACTTTGAAACACTATGTTGTACACCTGAAACTAATATAATAAATCAAGTATACCTCAATAAAAAAGTATGCTTCATTTTTTTAAACAAATTAACCACATCAAAAATATTTGTTGATACAAGTGCCAAAAGACTCACAGAGCATAAGATATAATGGGACCAGAGTAAATACTAATCATGTCAAATGGTTTCAAGTCTATTAAAATAGAGTAAGATCATCTGACCTTCCTATTTATATCTTGTATTGTCACATTTCTCTTTGAAATGACATTTGATCAATCAATCTGAGTTTTTTTCCCTCTGGAATTCCTTATACAAGTTTCTTTTGTGCTTCAGAAAAATGTTAGAAGATCAATTTAAAAATGGAGGTTTAAGATAAAAACAAGACATGGGAGAAAAAAGGAACAGTATTAATAGACAAGGAAAGAAAAGAAGGGACAGGGAAATGGGAAAATTTGGTATTCTCTACAAAATTAGATAATGATATTAAGGCCTCCAAGGAAAAGATCTAAATAAAGCTTCTTTCCCTTCCCATTCTGTATACTCCCTCTGAATGCTCCCAAACATATGTTAAAAACTCTTTCAAAGGAGAAGGTTATTTTAGCATTTGGTGTGAACCAAGATAAATCTTACTATTCAACTAAATAATAATATATTATAAAAAAGATTTTCAAAGTGAGCAGCTATATATCAGCCAGGATCAAAATGGGGGAGGGTAGATGAAATGTGTATATCAGTGAGTTCAAATTATAAAGACAACTACAATTTAAAATCGAAACCTGCGTTATCTTTTAGATTCACATCTGCTCCAGATTCTATCAGAGCTTTCACCAGAGACAAGTTTCCTCTTCTGGCAGCCAAATGAAGCCGGCTTTCTCCTCTGGCATTCCTCTTATTGATCCCAGCTGTTTTCATTTCTGTAAATTTGCCAAGCAAAACTGAGTATTCTTTTCTGCCAAGTGCTGATTATTATGAAGGATCTTAGAAAATACAAAGCAACTTCCTCAGAACATCCTAAGTAGGATGCACTACACAGAAACATACCTCAATTAATATCATTGCTGTTACTATTTAAAAATATAACTTGTGGGCTTCCCTGGTGGCGCAGTGGTTGAGAATCTGCCTGCTAATGCAGGGGACACGGTTTCGAGCCCTGGTCTGGGAAGAACCCACATGCCGCGGAGCAACTAGGCCCGTGAGCCACAACTACTGAGCCTGCGCGTCTGGAGCCTGTGCTCCGCAACAAGAGAGGCTGTGATAGTGAAGAGGCCCGCGTACCGCGATGAAGAATGGCCCCCGCTTGCAGCAACTAGAGAAAGCCCTCGCACAGAAACGAAGACCCAACACAGCCAAAAATAAATATAAAAATAAATAAATAAATAAAAGATTGCTATAAAAAATAAAAAATAAAAAAAAAAATAAAAATAAAAATATAACTTGTAAAGAATTGACAGAGCATCTGATCACATTACTTCAAATTCATTCTAGCAGTTGTTCACTCTATCATATGCTTGATTAAAACAAATAATACTTGCTTCATTTCTACACTCACTTCACTCTCAGTAGTCCTCTATCAATGGATAAAAATTTTCTTAAACCAAATTGTGATTTTATAAAAATCCTCTTTCTGTAACTATTCTTATATCTCAGTGGGTGTGTTTCTGATCACAAAAGATGCCAAGAACCAAATCATGGCCTCCTGGGTACTTTGTTTTCTTTCATAGAAAATGTAGTACAATATCATTATCTGAAGATTTTAAAATCTTTTCCTTGCATTACAAGTTAGACTTGAGCTGGAACTAAAAACAGTGAATAGTTTTTTCCCAAACTATGCTAAAATGATGTACTAAAAGATTTTTTTGTAACATCATATAAAGAAAATAGAAGACACTATCTCTTCTTCAAGTGGCCTACAGTATAGTGGAATGACAGACATGTAAAAACTTACATTAAAATATGATTCAGTGCTGCTAGAGAAATGTATTAGTTTCCTGTGGTAGCTGTAACAAATGACCACAAACCCGGTGGTTGTGTTGTGCTTAACACCACACAAATATATTATCTCACAGTTCTGGAGACCAGAAGTCCAAAACCAAGGTGTCAGCAGGGCTGCACTCTCTCTGGAAGCTCTAAGGAAGAATCCTTCCTTGCTTCCTCCAACTTCTGATGGATACCAGCCTTCCTTAGCTTCCTTGGCTTTTGGCCACATTGTTCCTTTGCCTGGCTCTTCACATTATCTTCTCCTTTCCTGTGTGTCTCAAAGCTCTCTCCATTTTTCTTTTATAAGGATACTTGTTGTAAGATTTGGGTCCCATTTGGAAAATGCAGGACAACCTCCTCATCTCAAGATCCTTAACTACATCTGCAAAGATTCTTTTTCTAAACAAGGTAATGTTCACTCTTTAAATGAGATAGTATCACAGATTCCAGGGAACAGGACATGGACATATGTTTTGGGGGGCCACTATTCAACCCACTACAGGAGGTATGTATAAGAAGGGCTTTAGTTTAAAATGACAGGCAGACAATGCAGGAAGGTTCAAAGAGTATGCCTAATATTCCTACCTCTTACTATATCAACTTTTTCTTACTAAATCAACTTTTTGGTGCTTAACATTTAACCTGAAGTAGTCCAGCCTATTGGTCACACAGAACTAGCTCCAAGAACTATCAAAGAATAGTCAGCTATCCATGCTGCCAAACACACACAGTTCGTGTATCTGACACAAAGAAACTAGTGGCTATGCTTCTTTAATTTCCCATGTGTTAAAAGGGCTCAGTGGAAGTATCTAAGGGATCTGACACAATTCAGATGTGCTGCCCCCACTCAACATTCTTGCTGTCTCTACTGTTTATCTTATCTCCTCTAACATAACAAATTAGAAGTCATAGGCAAAAATATGACAATATATTGGAAGACTAAGAGATTCTCAAGTGGTGGATTACAGTAAAACCATCTGACAAATATAGCTGAAATAACCTTATAAATTAGTGAATGACTAAAAGAAACAGTAAATATGAAAGTGTATAATTCTTTGAAGGAGAGTGGATTGCTAGGCTTGATCATGCAAACCTTTCCCTATATAAAAATAGGAATACAAACCTTGGCTGCAGGTAGCTTTCAAGAAATTTTGCCTTTTTCTGAAATTCTGAACTTTTTTGTGTTCCTGGATGTTAGTAGGCATGTGAATTTCTGAATCTGTTTTTTCTTTCTTCTCCTCACAATTTCTTATAGTGTTTTCATCTCCATTGACATTATTAGTTAATTCCTCACCTGAAAAACAAACATTTTGCAATATCAGTGTTGTAGTTCTCCTTACCGGTTACATGACTAAAAAAGAGTCTAGTCATGTTAATTGTTCCAAGTTTCTGTTCCTAGCTGGACAGCTTATTTTAAAGGAGTGGAATCCTTTAAAAATGTTTTCATACAACAAACATAAATTAGTTTTCTGGATGCAATTTCAACTGTGAATCACTGAAATCAATGGAGATAACAATTTCCTGCTATAAAAATGTTGTTCGGTTTCTTGATACTAAGAAGGTGCTATATTAAAAAAACTCATAGAAATACTGTTTGTTATCTCCTGACAATATCAATTTAGCACATTCTTTCAAAGTAAATACCATTACTTAACTAATTAAAAGTATCTCCAAATTATGGTCCACATGTCCTCATTCTTATCAGTTTGGGCATAGGTTGAGTGAAATTCAGTTAGAAATTTCTGTGAAATAAGTAAATCTATAGGAAATGTGTACAAATTGAGCAATACTACTAATACCTGGTTTGTGAGAAATTTCCTTCTCTTCTCTTTGACTAAGCTGTGAGATGGTCAATTCTTTATTGATATTGTCAGTGGACTGAAAGCCTATACTATGTATAGTTTTGATCTCTTGTCTCCTTTTTTCAACTTTAGTTGTTTCCATTACTTGAGAATGAACAACTCTGGATAAAGGTCTATTTGAAGAACTTGGTTTTTGGCCTTTGTCAGTGTAATTACTTTTAGTGTCTCCTTCCTTATTCACCTTTTCCACAATATGTGTATCCATTTGATTCATTAAAGGAGTTGGTATTCTGGGGCTACAATCCTGAGGCCTCTCGAATAGTTCCACATGACTAGTTAACTTTGAAACTTCATGTGTTGAGAGTGTTCTTGTACAAGCAAGGGAAGTATGTTCAGGACTGCCATGTGAGTGATCAAAAGAAGTTCCACATGTACATTGTTCATAATTTGAAACATGTTCAGAAACTATTATATTATCTGAATTAGAAAAATTAACAGCTTCCTGTTGTGGAAATATGGTTAGGCTGCCTGCTTTTATTAACTCATTTTCCTGTGAAAAATGGTCTTGAGAAGGTAAAAGTTGTTGAAAATCCATTTCTTCTCTATTTGTTTTATTCTCTTTATAATTATCGTGGTTTTTGCAACCTGAAGAACTTATCACCTTTTTAAATGTTACAGTCTCCTCAGGAGCACAGGAATCACCATCATCACGATTATTAAAATTTTCCTTTATAAAGGATGGGGAAAAGTTTTCCCACTTATTAGGGCTCTCATCTTTTTGACCTGAGTTACTGTTTTCATGAGATTTATAAGGGCTAATGTGCTGCTGTTCTTGGTGAGTATGAGGCTGCTGATCTGTAGTAACAAGTGGTAACTCGGTTTTTTTATGTAAAGAAAGTCCTGAGAAAGAAACGGCTTCAGCTTCGCCAGTGGATTCTAATTCCAAAAATTTTATTTCTTGTCTATCTGATAAATCCAGGCTTTGGGTATGTGTCTCTTTGGGAAATGAACAAGTCTCAACATCGTTACTTAAACCATTTTTCAGGCCTGACAGAGATGGGCTAAAAGGTTTACATGACTTTTCTGGAAGGTCATCAAGGGTTTGGAGAGTATGTTGTTGACAAGTAACCAATCTGTTTATTTTTCTGGAAGAAGAGACAGCTATTGTCTTTCTTGGATTGCTTTCTTGGATTGCATCATCCACTTGAGTTCTTTTATGTCGTGTATTTCTTCTTCCTTTATCTTCAGACACATTTGTGCTGGGATCCTCAACAGCATGGAGATTGTCCTTTCTGAGTCCTGTCGAGTATATTTGGTTAAGAGTTGATCGTTTATGCTTGGATTTACCAAATTTCGTGTTTGGGGAATCTTTTTGGTAATGTTCATATACATCTTCTTTATTTATAAATAAACCCTCTTTGCTTCCTTTATTGACTTTTACATGTTCTGGCTTCTGTCTCTTGGAATTTTCATCACAAACAAACCCACTGTGATTTTTAGAACTGAATTTTGGTTTCTATAGAAACAAAATACATAGTTAGCTTTAATTTTCAACTATAGTTCTACACCTAATTCATTCTGGATTGGAGATAAAGCAAACTAATATTCCATTCAATGTTATAATTTGATCTAACCACAGGGCCTGCTGGGATGTATACAACCTGATTTGTATTTCAGAAAAGTAGACTAACAGAAGAAAGGCAAAAGCAATAGACTCAGTATGTGTACTAATCTTTATTTTCTCCTGTACATTTTAATTTCTTTTTGCCAGTATTTTAGCACTATCTATCTTACTAAACGTAATGAAAAATTTTAATCTACCTAATTTTTATAGGCTTTTAAAACAATCAGATAATTCCTTTACAAGGAATCTTTACAAGAATACTGTAGAAACACTCTCCTCTCCCATTTGTTATATAGGTAGACCTAGAATTAAGAGAGTTTCTTCCTCTGGTATCTGTGAGAGACCACAGGTAGGGCAGTGGAAGAAGGGATTTAAAAACAAAAAGATAGATATACAACCAAGTTGGCTTGCATGGAAAGGTTACTGTGGGCTGCCAAGATTAAAACAGGGACAGTGCTTCCTCTCACACATCACAACACAAGCACCAGATGAAAAGTAACTGCCCACCACGTGAAGTTTGAAGGGATGGATCGACACCTTTGACTCTTATACTGTGCTCAGGCCAGAGGAAATTCGACATTGTTGATAACCCTCATGGCTCCATAAAGAGGAGAAAGGAAATGGAAATGGCTACCAATACATTAGTGTGCCCACATATGCTTTATTTACTCAACTGCTTCCCAAACTAACAGGCCAGAACCTTCTGATTCTTATGTAATTATTCCAAAGTGTCTTAAAAGCAAAGGTGAAGTCACTGTTCCTGGTGAATGCTTCAGTAGTCTTTCTTTCCCCTCTGATGATCTATAAAATAACCAGCAGGTGTGCTCTATAAAAATGTTTACTGCTGAACAGAGATATACCTTGTGGTGGTGTTCATCCTCTAAGTCTGAAGGGTCAGTGCTATTTGTCTGCGCTGTAAGCAAAAAGAGAAAGGTCAAAGAAAAGAGCCTCCAGTAGTCAGACTCTAGACTTCTAAAACCAAAACTCCTTTGCCATGAGAAAACCAAGTGGGAAAAGTGAAATTATGCAAACACATTCTATTAAAATTGGCACATATAATATTCCATAATTTATAATTTCCATATTTATTGAGAGAGCTGAAAACATTTCTCGAGGAAAAGCAAAACAGACCCAACAAAATTATGTTAAAGATGGGCACTGAACTCAGTATTTTTATATTCCCCACAGTTATACTCAGATATGCAACTGTGTGCAAGGTTTTATAAGGCAAAAAATTCTTTCATAATTAACCGTATTATCATCATTTTCTAATATGTCTGCTTAATAAAGTTGCAGGATACATAAGTAATATACAGAAATCTGTTGCTTTTCTATATACTAATAGTGAACTATCAGAAAGAGAAAGCAAGAAAAAAATCCCATTTACATTTACAATCTCATAAAAAAGAATAAAATACCTAGGAATAAACTTAACCAAAGAGGTGAAAGACCTATACTCTGAAAACTATAAAACACTGATGAAGGAAACTGAAGATGATACAAAGCCATGGGAAGATATACTGTGTTCTTGGACTGGAATACTGTTAAAATTTCCATACTACCCAAAGCAATCTACAGATTTAATGCAATCCCTATCAAAACAGCCACAACATTTTTCACAGAACTAGAACAAATAATCCCAAAATTTATATGGAACCACAAAAGACCCTGAACTGCCAAAGCAATTTAGAGAAAGTTAAACAGAGCTGGAGGTATCGTGCTCCCTACTTCAGACTATACAATACTACAGTAGTCAAAATAGCACAGTAATGGCACAAAAACAGACACATAGATCAATGGAACAGAATAGAGAGTCCAGAAATAAACCAACACACCTATCTTCAATTAGTCTATGACAAAGGAGGCAAAAACATACAATGGAGAAAAGAAAGTCTCTTCAACAAAGGGTGCCTTCAATCAGTGGTAAAACTGGACAGCCAAATGTAAAAGAATGAAATTAGAACATTTTCTCACATCACATACAAAAATAAACTCAAATGGATTAAAGACATAAATGTAAGACCAGAAACCATAAAACTCCTAAAAGAGAACATAGGGAGAACACTCTGACATAAATCATACTAATATTGTTTGAGATTTGTTTCCTAAGGCAAGGGAAACAAAAAATAAACAAATGGGACCTCATAAAACTGAAAAGCTTTAACACAGAATAGGAAACCATTGACAAAACAAAAAGATGACGTACTGAATGGGAGAAAATATTTGTAAAAGATACGACCAATAAGGGGTTAATATCCAAAATTTATAAACAGCTCATACAACCCAATATAAAATAAAAAATCCATTCAAAAAAATGGACAAAAGACCTGAAAGATATTTTTCCAAACAAGATAACACAGAAAGGGCTTCCCTGGTGGCGCAGTGGTTGAGAGTCCGCCCGCCGATGCAGGGGA